CTGTTATTTTTGTTATTTAGTTTTTTAAGACAGGGTCTCACTCTGTTGCTCAGATGAAAGTGCAGTGGCACAAAGATCACAGAAACCTCAAATTTCTGGGCTCAAAGGGATCCTTCTGTCTCAGCCTCAGTAGCTGATGACAGGCATGAACCCCCATACCCACCTACTTCTGGTATTTTTTTGTAGAGAGAGTGTCTCACTATGTTGCCTAGGTTTGTCTCAAACTCCTGGCCTCAAGCCGTCCTCCCACCTCAGCATTCCAAAGTGCTAGAATTATAGGCCTGAGTCACCACCAGGCCTGTATTTCTATTTTTAAATAAAGAATTTCAGGGACAGAAGAAAGCAGTAAGTAAAGACTAAGGTCTAGTTTTGCAATCTGTTGCATGGGAGAGGGCATGGCTTGGGTGGGCATATGGGAATGGGGTGTATGCAAACTGCTGGCAGCAAAGAACATAAGAGTCATGTGTTCAAACCTCTAAGTCCTATAGTGTGATTTTGTAACCCAGATTCAAGGCTAAAGTTTGAAATTGATTTTAAAAACAAAACTTTCTTTGCAAAATAAACCATACTGTCCCTTCTAGTTGAAGCAAGACATCCTAAAAAAGAATATTACTAGTGAAAGGAAATGTTATTGTATCTAATTCCAGTTCAAAAAAGATGTACATATCATAGGAAAGGGGTCAGACAGTGCAAGTAGGTAAAGAATGAGAAGAAACTTCCCAGGCACTCAAATCTTAAGGCTTGAAGAGAACAAACACAGTACTTGTACCACCCAAATCCTATCCAGAATTACCTTCTCCTTCTACCTCATTGTGGGGGGTGGGGGGGGAGGAGAAAGTTTTTCTCTTTCTCAAGTATAAAAGGATGTTGGAAAAGTTCAGCATATCTATGCAAGGAACAGAAACATAGCCAGTCACAAATTAGAGGGTGAAATAACAAGTTATTAATTATATAATATAAAAATTCAGTATTGACCCAGCTCCTGTATCCTCTTTGTGAATTGTATGCAATAAATGTCAGAACACTTAGAGAGATTTCCCTTTCTTCTTTGGAACCAGAAATGAAGATACTTGATAATGTTTATCCGCAAAAAAAAATAGAAGGGCAATACTAAAACCTTTTAAGAAGTGGATAGCTGAAAGGTACCATATGTGAATGTAGTGACATAACTTGTAGAATCATGAATAATTCAAGCCATGGCAAGATTTAGGATGAATGTAACCCTGGGGACATAGATGAGGGACAGGCTTTATCATTCTGAAGTCCCACCCCATGGGGAAATTTACTTTTTCTACCTACCTACCAAAGAATCTTCTAAGACTAAAATATATGCTTCACAGATGCCTAAATTAAAATTGAACATAGCCATAATGGCAGCTCTTTACAAAGGAACACAGCATCTTGGGACTAGAATTAAATATAAGTCCCCTCTAAGAGGCACCTGACTGTAGTCAGGCCTCAGCCACTGTCTTCTGACTCAGGTTGCAAAGGGAAGCTAGAACAAGCCATGCTTATTCACACTCCTTCACACACCTCCTGGGCCAGCTCTTCTCTCATTTGCTAATCTATGGAGAGCAATGTGGGGAGTAAAGAGACAGGAGGTTGAAAGCCTCACAGTAGTCATACCAAACATGAAAATCCCTGGAAGCCTCAGAACATGTAATCCTAATAGCATGCCACATTTGTAAAACCAATTTAGAAGAATGCTTAAAATAAAGATGACACTTTTAATACTATCAGCCAAAATTCCAGCCATGTTAAGTAGTAAATAAGCCTAACACATGGTCATGAGGCAAGGTGTTTATTCTTTAAAAAAAATGTTAGACTATATTACAAGCTACTAAAGTCTAAGAAAACCTAAACACATCTACGTTAAAAAAAAGTCATCTATATTTTAGCAACCTTAGCTGACGCAACCTGCAGGAACCTATGACTATTAAGAGTGATTCTGTCGGTAGGGATGTAAGTTCTGGAAGTGCTTCAGTTCTGCAACTTATTGTAGAGGAAGAACTGCAGGTGGTTCCATGAGAGACACATGCAGGTACCTGAAATGAGACCCAAGGCAAGGTCAGCACAGGCCAAAGACTTCAGTTTTGTACAATCTCGGCTGGGCCACAGAAAACTTTCCAGTGGTTTTAACAGAATGGAAGGAAGCTGGCTAACTATAGTACTACAAACTGACAGATTATAAACATAGGCCTCTACAAAGTGATTTTCTTGATTTAACATGTAACAGTAGTCTACCAACCTAGTACCTGATATACAATTTGTTCTATTTTTAATTCTGACATTACTATAACCCATAAAGCTTTAAAAAGAGAGCCAAGATAAGAGAATGTCAGTGACTTACTTTGAAGCCTTATACTTCTCCCTAATGGCCTGCTGAGGTCGATGGGGCATATCAAGGCATGCCTTATGTAGCTCACTCAGGCAAGGCACAATTTCGCTTAATGAATAGCCTGTAAATGCAGCAAGAGTTTCTGGCTAATCAAGACAAAAGAAAAAAATTGCTTCACATAACTTTATAAGATATCAGAAATCTGAAGATCTGATTGTGAAATAAAGAGAATTAATCTCTTAGTAAATATCCACATTGATCTCAAAAGAAACTGTGACCTTCAGAGACTTTAGGTATAAAACATTAGAAAGAACAGCCATACCGTACATTGATAATGCTCAATTTAGGGGCAGATCACTTTCCCTGTTCCCTCATGAGTGGGATTTTTACTGATCCTTAAAGAGCCCCTTTGCTTGATCCTCCTATTTGTATAGAATATGAAAGATTTTTAGTCAAAATGCAGGTGAAGAAGTAAGTATTCCATAAAGTAAAAACAGACTCTCAATTTCTTTAAGCACAATAATGAGTTTCCAAAATATAACCTAGGGGCCCGTTTCTGATCTTGCCACCTTCTCAGGCAAGAGGCAGCAACACTAATTACCCAGTTCTCTTGAAAAACTGGGGCAATCCTCTGGCCATCCTAATTGGACCCAGGTTTTTTGTCAACACAGATAGAAAAAGTCAACAAATTTTGCTTGAATTGATTAACAGTTATACGTCAAGGGCCCTCCATGCCTAATAGCAGGTACTGAGGTTTCCAGGCCTACTTCTGTTGAAGGAGTATGAGATGCTATCTCCTTGACCTCCTGCAACCTCAGTCCTCACTGAGTCAAAGCCATGAAGGCTGATCAGCAAGACGCAACAGCATGTTGTAGTCTGCTGTCAAGACAAACAGCTCCTTATTAAACTAACTTTCCCTCAGAAGAGGCAAGTTCATTTTAAATCCTGAGAGTTATTGAACAGATTTTAGATAGGCCTTGAATTTCATCTAGAAAGAAGTTTGAATCTTACCCAGAAGTGCCTATTCACAGTATAGTTTGCCAGGCAGTAAGCTGCTGCAGCTGTCAATGAAGGAAGGTATTTCAAGAATGGGTCAGCTTCAAGTAGACTCAATTCTGCTACGTACTAAGCACAAGAGAGAAAATTTCATTAGAATTATACATTTGACAAAGGTTGTATGTAAACCTAGAAATAGCAAGGGAATAAATTGTGTCTTATCATTGTTCAGCCAGCATCTAGTAATGAGTATGAAACAGGAACTCAAAATTACTCACTGGGTTAGTAACAGGTATGCCTGTCCATAACCAGAATATCATTTATGTTACAATAAAATTTCAATACACAAGTATAGTAGAACCTCCATAATTGACTAAATCCTTAAGTTGACCTAATTTTCACAGCCCACACATGAAACACACAGCCCTAGTTCCTTATGTTGACCAACTTTATATGTCGACCAGTTTGTTCCAGTGCCTTGGGCAGTCACCTTACAAAGGTCCTACTAATTTGGCTTATCCACATAGTACATGTGACGGGTTACTTTTTTTATCCTGGTAGTGCAGATTTAGTTGGTCAGATAAAATAGCATTGCTCTGGCAGCTAGAATGGAAACAACCTTTGGCTAAAAGGCAATAATATGACCATATAAAGCTATTAATTTGCCAAGCACATGCATGCAGTTCAGAGACTCAAACAGTACAAGTGAGAGCATATCAGACTAGAAGAAACACATTAGGAAATTTATGCAGACATCCTTATTACTCTCTTTTATTTATTTATTTATTTTTTTTTTCAGTTTTTGGCCAGGGCCAGGTTTGAACCCACCACCTCCAGTATATAGGGCTGATGCCCTACTCCTTTGAGTCACAGGTGCTGACCATCCTTATTACTCTTTGTATAGCCCATAAATATCATATTTCCTAGATCACGGTGGTTGGAAACCAAGTTGGCCAGACCAATAATGTCTTCAACTAAAATTTTATCTCTCCAAACCAAATAATGTGCATTACTTAACTATGTTGGGAGGAGACCAGAATCAAACTATATTTACTTTGTTCCCACTCCGTAATCTTAAGAGACATTTCTTGCATGTGGTCTGTGTACAACAAGCGAACAATCTTTAAGCCCAAATTTCTTTAATAGTTGGATAATGAAACAACCCACATCTGCCAAGTGTAGTCAATAGTAACGTTTTATAACCAGAAGTTGTGTTCATTGCTAAAAAGTTTTTCTGGGTGCACAGAACAAAACCAAAAAGGAAGTAAGAACAGAAGAATGCCTGGGACAGACTGGCAGCCGTAGCTCCTGGAAGTCACAGAGGTGGTATACATACCTTGGCCAGGTTCTCAGTTCTGACACACACTCCCTGCCGCCGCAAGTACTGAAGGAGAAACTGGTTGGTGGTTGGCACTGTTAGATCGAAAGCGAGGACTTTCAGGAGCAGGTGTTCCATTCTCAACAGCTGCCGTTTAGTGTATGTATCATCAGTTATATAGACAAACTCATCTACTTCAGGTGGATATATCTCTTCATATTTCCTTGGAAAGGTAAAGAGTTTTTACAAGTAAAGCTTAAAACCTATTGCTCTACTTCTGTGTGCTACCACATTCCCTCACATATCCATTTAAACACCACTAAATGGCACAAGGCTATGAAAATATTAGCTTATTTCCAGACCAAGAACATCGGTGCTATAAGGATATGTTGTACTTACTGCTAGGAGTAGTAACAGAAATAATTTCAAACTGAGAATTTGTGTTTTGGCCTCTGATATGCTGAAAGATTCTGAATGGCAATACTAGAGGTAAATTCTTATTAATTCTGTAGCCCTAAAATTATTTTGTGAAAAAGAACGTTATGATGAACACAATGACATAAAAAAATTCCATAGGCCTTTAGTTTTTAAAAAGATCATGTTTAACTTTCTCTACTGAATTAGCAAATGATGCTGTACAGCCAAGAAAAAGGTAATGATATAATTTCACTATTATCAATTCTTTCCTCTGCTTTTGTTTCTAGTATACTCTCTTTATACTAGAATTTTGGCAAGTTTTTAATGCATCAATAACAGAATGTTCGAGACCAGAAGAACAGAAAAGAAATTATCTATCACCCGGCAACAGGTCACTTGACGGCAGCTCAACCACAGCCCCGCTCCCTTTTCCTACACAATGGGGTGTTGTTGTTGTGAATGCCTGACAGTAACAGGAACCAGCTTAAATAGTTCATTCATTGTAACCACATAAACAAACTGTTATTATGGGTCATCTGCTAGATCATGAAGACAACTTTCACATAACCAAAATCTCTTTAAATATGACTTTTACTTATATGAGAATATAGCCAAAAGCCCCCAGTGCATTATGTATTTGTTAATTAGATCCTGAATTTGAGCTGTTGGCTGCCTCAACAAGTTCAATTCGTTGCTATAACAGCAGAAGTAAAGAATAAATAAACATTTGGTAAGATTCAGGTTCTCAGTAAATCCTGTGCAGATGATAGTCTTTTATCAAAGGAGACACAAAAGTTGTAATTATGAAGCATTGCATTTCTTCAATACAGAATAAAAATTGTTTTGACATGCAATAGTTTCACATTATTCAAACTGAAAGAACACTTACGAAGCCAAAAGAATAGCTGCTGTTCCTACAAGCTGCAATTTGCCTCTCAGAACAGACATACATGAAAGGAATCTGTCCAAGAAGTTGACAGCCAGATACAGAGTCTCTGCGCGAAGCTTATACTCTTCACCAACCTCCACCAGCCAGTCCACCAGAATTGTACGCATGCTCTCTGTGATGTCTGGCTGCTTTCTCATGTAGTGAGCTTTGGGTCTGTACCTCATCTGTTTGGGGAAACAGTTTTGATTTTTAAGTAGTAGCAATATCAGAAAGAACATTCCACAGTACATCATTATTTTTAAAAGTCTCATGAGCAAAGGTTAGGAGGATCTTGATTCAGAGCTAAATAAATCTTTGTCATGATAAGGAAGAAAGTTTGAACTCCCAGTTCTATACTAAAGGGAGGGAGAAATGGCAATATGAGTTATTCCCAAGAATGAAATACTTAAGTAATTCCTCAAGTCATATAGAAATAATCTAAGTTATTGCTATTCACCATCACAAATATTATTTTTTATAGATATTCTTATGTTTAGCTGTCACAAGAGTGCCATTCACTAGTAGGTATGGGCAAGAGTTTTTAACTTATCTAAATATTGTAAGAGCCTGGCGTCATAGAGATTGAAGTAGAAGTTTGGATGACTCACTTCAGCTTCTCTAAGGTACTGATGAATTTCTTCAGCATATTCAGTCACATTTATCACATCTGTGCCAAAATCTGATGCATCTTCAGACTGGGAATGGAGAGATGAATCTACCAGCATAGGGGAAACTGCAGGGGTTCAACATTGTCAGATAAATCACTTAATTTAAAACCTAGTTCCATCCACTAACCCTCCACAGGCAGTTGGGAATATAGCCATTACTTCCTGTTTTTCTCTTGCTAGTTACTTGCTATTAAACACTGCAGGCGATTAAGAACACAGGGCACCATCAGGCGTAGGTGAGTCAGATTACCTGAGCTGAAATCCAGCAGGAAGTGGAGGTCTGACTTGAGTGTGCTGGCATCTACTTCATATACATCCTCAAACGCCATCCCCTCTCTGCCTAAGCCGCTCTCTCTGTCCCCCTGCTCAGGTTCATCCATGTAGATGTCAAACGCTTGCTTGGGGGGTTCATGGACCCCAGAATCAGATGGTGCTTTCTTTCCAGCTGGAGGGAAGGCATTTTCAGATCCAGAAAAACACTTTATTGCTGTGATCCCCTAAAAAAGGGTTAAATCTTTTATTAGAGGCCACTCTAAAGACCATATGCATAATATGACCCTGTGTAATTCAAACCAGCAACCTGAGAAGGTAAGATGAAACCTAAACCAAAATATCTATGCTAGCAATTTAACTCCAGAAAATGAGACTTCAAAAGTATAATTGTTCCCTTATTTTTGTCAACATTTGATATATGGGGAAAGACTACTAAAAATTCATCATCTTTCCCACATAAGACAATTCATTATAGGAAAAAGCTATAGCTGTCCTCCAAAATGAAATAAGTAGCACATTTAAGGGGAAGATAGAAAATTTGCATTTTATGTTTATAGCATCACAGGATTTTATAAGTAGTAGAATAGCCCTTGACCCGTAGTCCTATATTCTCCCTCCTTAAATACTTTTTACCAGTAGTGTCCTATAAAGTTCCCATTTTAATACCCAATTATTTAGAAACATGATGATTTTGGAAACTTTTACTACTAAATTTTCTTACAAGCCATAAAATGTTTATATATAACTTAATGCAATTAGTATTGGGGAAATTTCTCAATCACTTCTTCCTTTTCCATATTCTTTTTTTTTTTTTCCAGAGACAAGAGTCTCACTTTGTCACCCTTGGTAGAGTACCATGGCATCACAGCTCACAGCAACCTCCAGCTCTTGGGCTTAAGTGATTGTCTTGCTTCAGCCCCCCAAGTAGCTGGGACTACAGGCACCTGCCACGATGCCCGGCTATTTTGTTGTTGTTGCAGTTTGGCTAGGACCAGGCTCAAACCTGCCACCCTCAGTATATGGGGCCGGCACCCTACCCACTGATCCACAGGCACCGCCCCCTCTTCCATACTCTTATAACATTAACAATGGAAGCTGTGTTGTCTCCACAGTGAAGGAACATCACGCATCAAACACACTTGCTTCCTAAGGTGAGTCAAGTTGATAGCTCTACCTAGTGCATTAACATTTTGTTTAGATAATCTATCTTGGTGCTTACTGTCAAAGGCTACTTCTAAGACAGGGTGTAGTTCCATAACTTTCCCTTGGATTTATCAAGTTAAATATGTGATTTATGTCTACTAAGCAAAAAAACTCTATCATAGTTTTTTTGGAAAGAAAAAATCAGAGACTATAAAAGACCACAGTCACAAGTTACTATAACCAGATAACCTTGACTCCAAGTCACAGGCAAGTCTGATTCTTGCTATGTAGATACACAAATAGAAGTTGAAATACATATTCATTAAACAAACATTTACTGAACTAATGTGCCAGATGCTATTCCAGGTGCCCAGAATCTAGCAGTGAACAAAATGTTCAAAGAAGACTAGTCTCATAAGATTCACATTCCAGTCCTAGGGAGGTAGTGGGAAGAGACAAAGAAAAACAGATACAGTAAGAGCAGAGCAGAGTGATGCAGAATTGTATAGGAGGTAAGGTTAGAAGAAAAAAAAAGAGAGGCTAGATCAGGTAGGACTACCATAGGCTGTTGAAGAACTGGCTTTGATTCAGAGATGGAAGCCACTGAAAGATTTTGGGCAGGAGTAGAATGAGCCTTTTATGCCTGAAAGGATCATTCTAGCTGTGTACAGCTATGGAAAGCAAGATCAGAGTAAGACAACCAGTTATGAATTTTACAGATCCTAGGTGAGACACAACAGGGATTTGAATCAGGGAAGTAAAACTAAAAAATGAGAAGCAAAGAGGTTCTAGACATTTTGAGAAGTAGAGGCAACAGTATTTTCTCACTAGACTAGATGTGGGGTGAGAGAAAAGAGTCAAGATTACTAAGGTCTTAAGGCTAAATATCAGAAAGGATGGACATTTCATTGACTGAGTCAGGGAAGTTTTGGGGAGCGAGAGTAGGGAAAAGGTTTGGTGCTCTAAGTGTGAGGTGCCCATTATGCGATCCAAGTGGAGATGTCAAGTAGGTTCCTGAGTAGGTGAGCCTGCAATGCCAAGCCTGCAACGGAGGCCAAGGCCAGAGATAAAAATGAGTCATCAACAAACACATGGCATTTAAGGCTGGGAGACTTGAAGATATAGTCAGGCTGCTGCAAAAGTAATTACAGTTTTTGCATTTGAAATTTGCCATTTAATACTGGAATATATTCTCCAACAAATGTGGTTATGTTCTGCATCATTTTAATGAGCATTTCTCACTTTATGTTTTTTTTCTTTACTAATGACTTATTACTTGTTGCTTATTTTATATTCATTTTGAACTATGGAAATGATATTAGACAAAAAGCAAATTTGGGTGATTTTCTTGTTTGTGTTCAAAATGGGTTGTAAAGCAGCAGAGACTACTCTTAACAGCAACAATGCATTTGGCCCAGGAACTACTAACAAACGTACAATACAGTAGTGTTTCAAGAAGTTTTGCAAAGATGAGAGCCTTAAAGATGAGAAGCACAGTTGCTGGCCATCAGAAGTTGACAACAACCAGTTGAGAGTAGTCATTGAAGCTGATCCTCTGACAGCTATATGAGAAGTTGCCAAAGCACTCAACGTCAATCATTGTATGGTTGCTTGGCATTGTAAGCCAATTGGAAAGGTGAAAAAGCTTAATAAGTGCTTGCCTCATGAGCTGACCAAAAATCAGAGCAATCATTTTCAAGTGTTGTCTTCTCTTACTATACACAATGGCAAAGGAACCATTTCTCAATCAGATTGTGACATGTGATGAAAAGTGGGTTTCACACAACTGACAATGACCAGCTCAGTAGGTAGACCAACAGGAACCTCCAAAACACTTTCCAAAGCCAAACTTGTACCAAAAAAAGGTCATGGTCACCATTTGGGGGTCTGTTGCTAGTTTGATCCACTACAGCTTTCTGAATCCCATCACATTCAAGGAGTCTGCTCAGCAAATCAGTGAGAAACACCCATAACTCCAACCACTGCAGCCAGTACTGGTCAACAGAAAGGGCCCAGTTCTTCTCCATGACAACACCTGACCACACACCACACAACTAATGCTTCAGAAGTTGAATGTTTTGGCCTATGAAGTTTTGCCTCATCTGTCATATTCACCTGACTTCTCGCCAACCCACTACCATTTCTTCAAGCACCTTGATAATTTTTTGCAGGGAAAATGCTTCCACAACCAGCAGGATACAGAAAATGCTTTTTAAGAGTTCATCAAATCCCAAAGCACAAATTTTTATGCTACAGTAACAAACTTATTTCTCCTTGGCAACAATGTGTTGATTGTAATGGTTCCTATTCCGATTAATAAAGATGTGTCTGAGCCTAGTCATAATGATTTAAAATTCATGGTCCAAAACTGCAATTTTGGAGCAGTTTGCAGCAGCCTAATACTAAGGGAGTGAGTCCAAGAGTCAGACCAAAGACTATGCCCTGGGGCACTCTAATCATTAGAGAATAAGAGGAAGAAGCAGGACATTAAGGCAGTTATAGGTAGAAAACCTGAAGAGCATGGTGGACTCCAAGCTGAGTGGGAAGAAATCATTTCAAGCAATAAAAAATGTTCAACTATGTCAAATACTGCTATCAGTCAAGTAAGGAAAAGACCAGACTAAGATTTAAGGCAAAAGAGAGCAAAATGCCTATGACTAATGTGAATGAAAAAAATTTTTAAAAGAGAGCAAAAGAAGAACTGCAGACAGACAGCATTCATCCAATGAAGAATTGTGTGGTACCCTAACCAGACCCAGGCAATGGGCATACAAAAGCAAACATAACATCCCAAATCCTCATCTGGATGGAGCTTACATGCTAGTGGGAGAGACAAACTCTCAAGAAATGTTTCAAGAAATGAGACAGGAACTGCAAGGAGCATGTAGTTGAAATGTTTTTAAGATGGAAAAAATTACAAAGAAAAGATGGAAAGAATTACACTGTGTGTACATTTATATGCTTATGAGTTAGACCCAGAAGAGGAGGTAAAACTGATGAAAGAAAGCAGAGTTGCTAGAGTGATATCCTCAAAGAACATAAGACTTTACACATGGGGGGCTCACCTCACTTTAAGAGGAGGGACACAGAAGTTACATAAACAGGATGGGGAAGACAAAGTACATGGGATATATGGAGATTCTCTTCTGGTTGGTTCTACATTTTTAAGAAATAGGATGTAAAGTCATCAGCTGAGAGTAAGAATGGAGGAGGTTGTTTTAGAGGGTTGAAGAGAGAAGGAAATGTATAGGAACCATTTCTAAGAAGGTTGTGGAGAATGAGGCAGGGAAATGGTGTGGTGGCACCCAACATAACAAGAATTTTAAACGAGACCACTCTGCATAGTTACAAGTGAAAATACATAAGAGCCAGGTCTTAGGTTTTGAATATAAAAAAATAAACACTGCTGGCTCGGCACCTGTAGCTCAGTGGCTAGAGTGCCAGCCACACACACCAGAGCTGGTGGGTTCAAATCCAACCCTGGCCTACCAGACAACAATGGCAACTACAACCAAAAAAACAGATGGGTGTTGTGGCAGGCTCCTGTAGTCCCAGCTACTTGAGAGGCTGAGGCAAGAGAATGGCTTAAGTCCAAGAGTTTGAGGTAGCTGTGAGCTTTAAAGCCATAGCGTTCTACTGAGGGCCATTGATTGAGACTCTGTCTCAATAATAAATAAATAAACCCTGCTGAGCAGATTAAAGTTTGCTCCAAATTAAACCACTTTCACTCAATTTGCTCCAAAGCTTTGAAGAGATCACTTGAAGAATCAGTAGACCAGAGGCTTCTAACCTAGCTTCCACCCTAACTTTCTTTTGGTGAGGGATTAAACCTTTCAAATTTTCTCACCTATAAAATGGGAAAGATACTGTTTTTAATCTGTTAAAGAAGGAATCCATGATCAGTTAAGCTCACAACTGATCTCTGAGGGCCCATTACCCTCCTTTAGTCAGTCCTGGGGAGATGAATTTAGCCCAGCCTGATCCAATCCTGATTCTAACATTGTCCTTAAGGAGCACAGCAAAGGCAATCCAGAACTGCTTCTGGTTTAGCCTATATCAGTTTAAACACCACTCTGACCTAGAGGAACTTCAGTTCATCACTTAAATCACTTCATGCATACTTAATCCAAACAGTTCCTAGATCGATTTCTTTGACATTGGAAAAAGAAAATTAATCCCAATTTCTAAGTGGAAAATGGGATCGGTTAAAGTCAACTTTAAAAATCAACTTCCCTATAGTCCAGATTCCAGAGTTCTAACATTCAAGGGGCATTATAAACACCTCCGCCATAGCAGTGGACCCATTTTCCACTAGCATCTTTCCTGGTACCTTTGAATCATTACCTGGCCACAGGTCTTCCTGAACTGTCCATTTTCAGTTAGCACCCCTAGCACTGTTCTTTGTGGGGGGTCCTGACCCAGCTGGGCTCTGGTGAGCATCTGACAAGCATCGGGACCTCCTGTCACAGGAGCCACTACAACTCCGCTCTTGGAGCTGCTGCGACGCATTGCGTCAGACTCCACAAGGTGCTTCTACCAGGGGAAGAGAGACACAAAGCGGGTTAGCTAACCTCCTCCGCCCACCCGGGGCGCCAGGGAATCTCCATTAGTTGCTGATCTTTTCAGCCATTATTGAGGCTGAAAGAGTGTGAGCACGATGGCACAAGCGACCAAAGCTGCTCTGAGCCGAAACAGTTGACTTGACTCTCTTGGGGTTTTCTTTCGGACCTGGTTGAGAGACATCTTGACAAACCTCCAAGGCAAGATACTAAGAGCCAAGTTGACTGAGAGTTTACATCTATGAGCCTAGGTCTTTCTCTGCTATGACACTCAATTTCCACTGGCCCCAAACAAAAGATCCAAGATATATTACTGCCAGAAAGTACATCCCCTTCCCTAGTGACAAGCTGGATGCCGCCCCGCGGCCCTCCTCCCACCAGACAGAAGGCCCCAAAACCTGCGTGGAGCCGACAGCCGGCCCCGCCGTCCTGGGCCTTAACTCTTTATACGCGTCTGGAGCAAGTGGCAATTGCACTCGAGGACAGGGCCTGAGGGGGCGCCGGAGGGGGCGGGGCGGCGCAGGGCGGGGCGGGAGGGGACAGTGGCGTCTGTAGATTCCAGCTGGGCGCCGACTCCCTGCGGCGGCGGCGGGCGCTACGCTCTAATCTCTTTCCGCCCACCCGCGTCTGTTGAATCGGCCAATCAGCGACGCTCCCGGTCCCGCGGGGCCGCTCCCATGCCAACTGCGGCGGGCGTGCGCGCTGGGGGCCGCATCGCCATGGCGACCTCCCCACCTGACTCGCTCCGGGCCAAGCAGTCGCGACCCCAAGGCTTTCAGGGCCCAGCTGGGCCAACCGGCGGCCGCCCGCCCTCCGGCTGCTTCTGCGCGGCCTTGCCCGGGCGTGCCGGGGCGGGCGGTCGCCGTTGACACTCGCGCCCCTTCTGGCCGGCGCCCCCAGCCGGGGAGGGAGGAAGGCGGCCCACCCTGCGAGTGCCGGGGGCTGTTTCCCTGCACCCGTTTTCCCAACAGCCGCTAACTCCTCCCGCTAACGTCTTTTGCACGGCCCGCTCCCGAGAACCTTGGCTCGGGAGAGCAACGCGGCGCCCTCGGGGCTGCGCAGGCCGCGGCTCGCTCCCTTCCCGGTTCACACACCTACACTTCCCGCCTGACGGCGGCCGAGGCGCGGCGGGCTGGTCCCGGACCGGAGGCGGCGGCGCCTCATTCGCGGCGGCAGTGGCGGCCCTTCGATCATTTGGGGTCTTTGAGCTCCAGAGGCCAAGCCTGGGAGGCCCTGTTCCCGGTACATGTGTCCCGGCGAGGTGGGGGAGGAGACTTGGGATTTTAGGGTCGCACGTGGTGCTCAAGGTCCCCACGAGAGGGCTCCCCCGACGGGTTCCTGCGTGAAGCCGCTCTGGGAACGCCGAGATTGTGGCCCAGGAAGGGGAAGGAACGTGGGCAGCAGCGATGGCGCTTGGGACGTTGAGGGGACAGTGGCCGGGCTCCGAACACGCGGGGAAGGAAAGCTCTTGATCTCGGGGTCCACAGCAAGGTAGAGAGGGAAGAAGAGCGCCTTCTATTGGGGGAGGGGGGCATCCGGAAATCCTGGAGCCCCGGCCTCTATAGAGGTGACTGGCAACTGGCTCGCCAAATGAAGGAATCTATAACTTGTAGAAAAACATGTATATATGCATACATGTATACATGTTACCTACAATGTCACTGCTTTTGCTGTTTAGTTTTATTTTTTTAAATCTATCCCTAAATCACTAAATCTAAAGCATATCTAAAGGCCATTCAAATGGCCACTTAATTAACAGTTATCACCATCTGTGCCTTGTCTAAATGGGACTCTGGCAACCTCTTGATAGCCACAACGTGAGTCAGATGCCAACGGGGACCAAATAGAGCACCTTGTTTTCCAAGGTGGCTCTTTCTGGTGATGGAAAAAGCATATATGCTCGGGAGTCCTCCGCCACTTGGCCACGCTGGAGATTACTTGAGACACTGAGGACCTCTGTGGTTAACTCTATGACGCTAGGCGAGCCAAGAGCTCGGGTTGCTTTGGGAGGGGGCAAGACAGACTGTGCTAACGCCTTCTTTTTTTCCTCTGTAGGTTCCTTTTAATCTAAGTAACTCCAACAAAGATGATGGTAACCTCTACTTCCTTTTTCCATAACAAAAGAGCTGGTACAATGTTTGTCCTGGTTACCTGACATTTTAATCCCCGTTTTTTAGGACTGAAGCTTCAGCCAGGATGGGGGGGGGAATGAGGAGCGCCCAGCTCCTGCAGAGGCAGCTCTTTGAGGATGTGAGCTTCCAACTCAAATCTGACCAGGTGACAAAGGCTACAAAGGTGTTTAATGTCCTTTAGCCATCATTAGCCTGAGAAATGCCTTTTAAATAGAAATTAATTCTACTAAATGGTGCCCTTGGATTATTTCATACCCCTTCTCTATGCTTCCTCTCATTTGAATGGCTGTAGCCCACTCCAACCTTAATATTAATACAGCCAAAATATTTTTGCTACATGTAAATACCTCTTTACTTTCCATCTACTTTGCTAAACTTGGCAAAAGGAGATGATTACGTAGCTTATGATTGTTTTCTTCTTGTACTGCCTTAGATTTCAACATTAAATCATTATAATCCTTTGGTCATATCTTAGATTGAAGAGTAAGCTAGATGAGCTGATATATGTGTGTGTGTAATGTAGGTAGAAATTTAGATATTTCAACTTACGCAATACTTATGCTTTCTTGATCTTTAAGAATATCTTCACTAAAGATGTGTTTCAATGAGTCATGACATAAAAACATTCAACTGATGAATAGCTGCACAATTTTTATGTAAAAAGTCTAAATTAAAAATTTGACCTTAGCCTGACAAACGAGTAGAGGGAATGAAAAGACTTCCTCACAAATTATGCAGTTTTAATGAGAAGCTTAATTATACTTTTGCTTTCATAGCAAAATTAGGATTAGAACTCAAAGATAAGTAGATTTTAACTTTTCCTTGTTTTATGTAAAGTCTATATTTGGTAATAAATTTTATTAAAATAAACAATATATTATAAATAAAATGTTAAAATATTTGGTATAACTTAAATACTAAAATAACACCTATTTTAGTCACTTGGTTTGCACTTCCTACCTGATGGTGAGTGCACCCCAGCTTTGACTTTAGGATTAATTTCCAAAATGTGGATGACAGCTGCATTCTTTACTAGGGATTTTTAGTACCCAAAAGTCCTAAAGAGCAATGCCTCCCCCCAAATTACAATTCAGTCTTTCTGTTTGCCAGAAATTACCTGGCATTTGGGAAAGCAGATGTTCTCTTATATTTTGCTCATTGTAGCTAGTAATTGTCTTCCTGCTCATTTTAGTTTTTATTAATTTGTATGAAATCAAGTTGATTTTCAAGATAGACCTGAAAGCAAGTGAAACAAGTAGAAAAGACAATTTTATTTAAGGAAAGAAGTCCATTTAGAGACATATTTTGCCTATTCATGGACATACCCATGTCATTCTCAGATATACAATTTAAGGACAGCTATATGATGACATGAAAGACAAAGTAGCAATTTGTGCCATCATTTAGGCCGTAGCTCCAGAGATGACCAAAGAATCAGTCAAGTCCTGCTTGAGAAAGAGCCCCAAATTTACAGCCTTACAATGCATATTTCATCATGTTGTAAGAAGTGGATCTTTTAATATATAATGAATAAAGTTAAGTTTTCATTAAAACTTATAACTGTCACCTTCTCTGAGAAAAAATGGTGTGAATATATGCGTGAGATTCAACAAAGTCTACTGTTCATCTGTTTCACAATTTTTTTTTCAGCACCCATTACATGCCAGGGAGTATCTGAGTATTTGTATAGTATTATACCGTAATTAAAAATGTATAGTATTTAACCATAATTAAAAATGATCCCTGCCTTTCAGGAGCTTTTGTTCCAGCCAAGTAGAGGTAACAGTTATAATGTGGTACATTATTTCATCATGGGAGATACAGACATATAGATAGGAGCAGCTGGAGCTTAGAGACAAGAAATAAGTCATGTTGCTGGGAAAATTTGGAAGCAGTATCTAGATCTGATCACTTAATATGATTAGCATTTTTTAAAAATTAACTGACAGGGAAGGAGTAATAGTCTAGAAAGGGGCCACCCAAAGAACAGGGATTTTCGGCAGTGTTTATTATCCAGTACATTCCAAGGGAGAGCAGTAAATTGTGATATCCAAACATCCTTCAAGGCTATCTCTATAGGCTCTAGATATAGACTCCATGAGTAAATATCTCATAATGAAGTCAACTTCCCAGGAACTTAGCCTGAAAGGAAGACGGTAATAGTGATTAGTTAGTCCCTAGTAATGTGCTCAGCTTGATATGCATTATTAGAATCAGACTTCTGTAGTGCAGAGTTGAGGCCTTTCCAAGATTCTGCACCAAGGAAAAAATAATTTCAGTGGGACAGTGGAGTCATTTGTCATTACAAATTGAAAAAGTTTTGAATTGTCAGACCATTACTGAAAATCAGTCTATTATTAGTGAAAATCAAGAACTTGAGTTGTACACAGTCTTTCATAGATATGAAATGTGGCTACAAGGTAATAAACAGAATCGCTAAAGTTAGCTGTCACTTATTCATAGTATCTTTTAAAGTAATTGTCCAGTTTTTACTAGATTTTCTGTGAAAATCAATGAATCATCAGTCTATGGCAAAGTTAATTCCATAAAATAGAGTTCCTATGTTTTATATTTCTCTTTATCTCAGCCTCTAATTGAAAGTGCTATGGAATTTCCACATCATTTGCCTGCCTCTTTGATTGGATACAGATAGATTCCATATTCAGTGACAGGCTCATGTCCTTTTAACTCCAGCAACTGGATATTAAGTCATATAAGTCATATCATCTGCTTATTAAACTTTTTAATTAAATGCTATTACCATTAAGTCACAAAATATTTATAAAACTTGTATTGACTCATTCATCTTATTGTTCTTCTAGAAAATAATACCAAAAATGATCACAGAAAATAC